AATCGATAACCAACTTCTACCCGAAAATATCATCGGCTTCATTCTCTGTGAGAGTGTACGATGGGCTGTTGTCCAAGTGCCATGTGCTCGTTCTCTATTCTCTCAACTACCAAATATCAATGGAATCGTCAGCTGTCACTCTTTCAAAAGATAAACTAGTAGTATCGTTGAGCTCGTTGTGCCTACGGTTGACCATGGGTGTTGAGTTCATATTTGCAGAAGCTTGATGATGGCTGAGAGCTCATCAGAGGGTCATGGAGAATCCAGCTTTTCTAACATCAAAGGTCGTCCAACCTTACAACAATACTGCCACGAGCTTCGGAAATGGGTGAGTATACAGGATTTACCTTCAGTCATGCGATAAGGTCTTGCCGCAGTACGGCTTTCTTCCATTTTTTCTCGTGCTCATTGATTTACTACCGAAGCGGGTAGCGTCACATCATGAGGTGTCGCCGTCAGGGCGTCGCCCCGAGCTGTCCTTGCGTACAGGACAGTATCAGGGATATATAATGATCACTACACAGATGAATACCCCCGTAGGTGGTTTCGAACTGTGGTATCAAATCTGTGATTCAAGTCTGCTGAACGATTCTGGGAACAAAGTAACGGGACCGATGCCTCCCTGTATTATACCACAGTAACGTACGAACCAACGAAACGTTTCTGGGCTTGATAATAAGCTCCCTCACAATTTAGGATTCCGGGGAAAAGTAATTCAATGAAAAAATTTTTTTAGCACTTCTGACCGAACAGACATGTACGCCTCTCTACTGCCAACAGTCAAGGTAGGAGTTCGAAACATTCGGCAGCTCCCTGCACCTTTTACGGTGGACGGCGAATGAATGACTCATCCGACCACACGGTCCACCTATTTTAGAAATACGGTCCGCGCTTTCAAAGCGATGGTACAAGTAATTGACATTGTTGACGATAACTGAAGATCAATAGTTTATCGCTTTGTGTGCATATATGTTTATCCGCTAGTTCTACTACTCGAGGTAAAAGCCCTTTTAAGGGGCCCCTTTATGAAGTAAACGTGGTGGTGTGGTGGGACGTGATACCACGACTGTACTCAAAATCTGAATACACGAACGACTTGCTTTGAAGTTGTCCCCTATAGACCTTCATTGTTGATCTGAAGCGTTATCCATTTGAAATGACTGTCG